ACAGTCTCGTAGAATTCATGGAAATTATCTCTGGACTGTAGTGCATATCTAATGAGAATTATATGAAAATGGGTCCGGATAACGGAAAGTACCGAAATTTATTACAACGCAAATGTAGTACTAGTGAGACGACAGTGGAATGAGTCGAAGAGGTTGCGGCTTTGGTAGCAAAACTGCGGCAAAAATTGGTTCGAGGTCTACCTCATGCCCTTTTGCGGGTTCGATCTGGAATAGCGGGTTTAGTCCATGCTTGTTGTAATGGGAAATCTGACCTTGTAGTTTTGAAGTAGAGTTATGAGGCCTATAAATAGCTCCACTCTTGCTAGAGCTTCTCCTGCGCATTGTCGTTTGCCAATTGAGAAAGGACAGAGTTGTTCTACTGTTTCCTAGAACAAGCGTTGCTGCATATTATCTCAACTCTTTGTTAGAAGTACTCACTTTGTTGGGAGTCACTCCATCCTCCATAAGAAATCTCTCTGGCTTAAACTCTTTCGGGTTTTCAAAGACAGGTGATCGAGCCAAGACGTGGTTGATGTGTCCAATAACTTGAGTGTCATTAGGAATACGAATACTGCCAACGGTTGTATCCGCTGTAGTTCGGTGGAAAACATTCAGAGGAACGATATTGGCACATCTTTGGATTTCTTGGATTGCAGCGCTGAAAGTGACTTTTGACCTAATATTAACAATTGCAACCAGGCGATGGTTTCGCCGATCCTGCAAGGTCGAGTTGTCAAAAGATCAACAAGAAATGAGTTGAGTATAGGTAACTACATAAATGATTCGGCGTCTTCAATACTCTCTGCGAGACGCCAAACGCACTCTACTTCATAGTGGAAGAAGTTACTGAATGCGTGCCAGCCTATCACAGCGACTAGCGGGAGCCGATTACCAAGTCAATGCTTTGTCCATATTCTGTACCAACTGACCGCCCCGGAGGGGGAAAGCTCGTTTGGCCCAATGGCTTGATTGAACCTAAGTCCGATCTGGTCATAGTGACTCATCATTCCAGTACGCCACTCATTTCCCATTACAAATACCCTTTGCTTCACTATAATGCTAACTGGAAGGCGGATCGCCGGCTAGAGAATGATCAGAGAGCACGCTCGCGAGGGAGATGC